CTATTTTATATAACTGGTTCTGTATTTATTGACAATGTATAAATATCTATTTTAATCTATAATTATTTCTATTTTTGTTTTTTGTTTTAGTTTCCATAGTTTTTTTTTGTGTTGTAATAATTTTGTGTTGTTTTTTTTATTGTAAAAACTTTTTACATTTTGTTTTTCATATATTTTGTAAGTATTTTCTAAGTCTATTATAATAATTTTTGCTATATTTTTATAAGTCTTAATTGGATATTTTTTGAATATTATAATAGTTGTATATGTAATTGTCTATTGATGTTTAGATTTATGGTTTCATTGTTCAAAAATTTGATATATTTATAATTTTTTAATTAGATAATATTTTGTTTTGCTATTTCTATTGTTACTGTCTTGGAAGAGTAAAATAAGAATTGTATTAATTTGAACTTATATTGAATAGAGTGTTTCTATAAAATAAAAGAAAATAGAAATACAATAAAGAAAAATAAAAGAAAATAATCAAAGAAATATTAAAGAAAATTAAAAAAAGATGAAATTTACAATCAAATATATTGAAACTTTCAATTCTTCCTTAACAGACTTCAAAATCACTAATAAAAATAATTTTCAATTTTCAATATTTTAATTTATTCAATATATGTTTTGTTTCAAATACTATTAAATAAATTAATATTAACAATTCAAAATTATTGGTTCAGTCAATTTCACAACTCTGTTCTAATATTGAAATCAAAAAATAACAATATATAAAATTGAATTTCAATATAAAAACAATAAGAAAATACAAGAATTCAAAATTTTATAATTATGATAATTGTTTTTTTTTTATAGCTAGAAGAAATTACAATCTTTTTATAATGTTTTGATTAATTGTAAATCACTTATAATCTAATTATTTATGTGTAGTTTATCTATTTACACAAAATAATTGGCTAGAAAATTCTTTGTTACATTTAAAATAATTATCAAAGAAAATTATTATTTGTAAATGAAAAAGTCCTATTACTCAAAATATTGGCAAAACAATTGCTTTTGAGATTTTAACAAAAGATGTTCTTTTAGTCTTTCTGCAAATAGTTACTTAAAATTTCAAAAAAGTTTCAGAACTTTGTTTTTGAGTAATGAAATTCAAAATTTATTACTCCATTTAAAACTATATAAAAAATATAGCCAAAAATAATAAATGTTGATAATATATGATGGTATATATTAAATATTAATAAAAATTTTAAAAATTTTAGTAACACTATATATGTTTGCTTTTTTATTTAAAATTAAAATGATTTGTTTTTATATAATTTATTTATGGATTACAGATAAATGAATATATTATAAATTTCTTTTTTTATAAATATTATTATTTATTATTTTGATAATAAATATTATATTATAAAACTAATTTAAACAGGTTCAATGTAAAAAATATATATTTTACTTAGATATATTATGTTTTTCTTTAATATAGCTTGGTTGATATTAAGAGCTTTATATTTTATAACTTGTTTTGAAATTTTCTGTTATTGTTATATTGTGTATCAGAAGTCTATTAGCAGTAATAGCAAAATCCTAGACTTTACAACACTTTGAAAAAAGTATTTGTTATAACAGAAAGAAGACTTAAAGGCAAAAAGAGGCATAGGTTTGGCAAGTTTGTATGATTTGGAGAGATTTTATTGGTCAGAACAGTGTGATAAGTATGTCGATTTTTAATTAATTAATTTTTCTACTTTTTCTTCTACTACATTATTTTTATACTTTTCTTATAGCAAAAAAAAAATAACAGAAATAAAAAAAATAACAAAAGTAAAAAAATAATGAGATTGAAAGTTAATTATTTATTTTGGCAATCTCTATAATGTGCAATTGTCGTTTTTTAATTTCTAAGCCTTATCATTGATTGTCATTTTTCTGTAACAGTAGTCATTACAGTCTGTTAAGTTGTTAATAATTTTTGAAGAGTAAATGTTTGTTGTTATATACAATATTTCCAATTAATTTATATATATATTGTGAGGGTGTAACGGCGAGTCAGTCGCTAAGTTCGACAAGATTTCGCGTAACCACGGATAAGGTTGGTAATATTTAAGGTGAAGGAGGCGTGTTTAGATTTGGTCGAGTAATTTATTGTTTTTAACGGGTCTTGTCTCCTTTATTAAAGCTTATCTCTTTCTTTTTATACATTTCTCTTTATTTACAGAGGCTAGTGCGGCTATACTTTTCTAACAATAGATAAGCTAAGTCTTTTATTACATAAGTCCCTTCTCACAATTACTTCCTTCTTTTCCCCCACATTAGGTAAGCGTGCATCGCCATCTAAGAACGGGTTTTCCGCAATACCCTTCGTGACGATCTGTCACGTGATACACGTCGCGTCTCAACTTACCCCCTTACAATACTATTAGTTGTTTTGAAGATTCTTAAGTTCCTGAGTTAAGACTTACTTGTGATAAAGAGTGAAAACTATTTTTCTTGACAAAAATTACCATAAAAAAATTTTTAACAAAGTAAATATGATCAGAAAATAGTTTTTTTATATTCAGTTATTTATAAATTTTCTTGTTTTTTAAATATAATTTTTTTATAAGATAAGGATTTAAATTAATTAATATTTATTCAAATCAAATAAAAATTTTTTTGTTTAATTAATAAAAATATCTAATTTTTTTTAAAATAAAACTTAGAAGAAAATATTTTTTAAATGAAAGATATTAAATTTTGAAAGTAATAATATTGTAATTATATTGTTAAGCTATAAAATGGCAAGTTTATTATTTCTCTGATCCAATGTTTATATAATTAAAGGTAAATCAAGATATATAAGACTAATTTTACCAAGAAACTTTCTTATTAACAAGTTTTTTTTTTTTTTAAAATGCTAGTTCTTCTCTTAATAACTTTAGAAAACATTTTTATATAGAGCAATTATTCTATCCTAAATAATGCATACTTAAAAAGATATTTTTTAATTAATACATATATATATTTTTATGATAATTTAATTTTATTTATCACATTTATTATTATTTTCTCTATTTTTATCCACTTTTTTTTCTTGATTTTTTTTGCTTGTTTGCTTTACAATAGCACTACTATTTTTATTATTGATACTATTAGAAAAACAACCAAGGAAAAATATATTATTAGGCTAAAATAAACTATTGAATAAGTTATTTAAACTTCTATTACTATATTTACTATATTGATTCTTAATACTACTTTTCCATTTTCAGAATATATCATATAGTAATTACAGTATGCAACTATATTATATAATTTTTATTGGATTAACAATATAAACAAGATAAATATATATATATAATGAAATAAGTTTCATTAGAAATATAGTCATTTATAAATGTCTAAGCACTTTGTATAAAAATTACAGATTCAAATCCTAATAAAAGCAAAAATCTCTGTAAACATATTTTAATATAGTTAAAATTGACAAATCAGGTTAAACCTCTGTATATCTGATTAAGGAAGTAATTTTTCAAGTAAAAAATAGTTTCAAAAGATAGTTATCACTATTACAATCAATATATTCAATATACTGTATTTAACAAATCAATCTAGATTATATATATAATATAAATTATCTGCTATTGACTCAATTTTTAAAATCCTTAGAAATAATTATATTGTGTCTTAATTATTTATATATTTTAATAATAACTTAATTAATTGTATTAAATAATTTCATCAATTATGTTAAAAATCTATAAATTTGCAATATGATCTAAATATTATCATCAAAATGTTAATAAAGTGTTGCTATAAAAAACATATTAAAGGTTCAAGATTAGATATGAGTCTAGTATCTATAAAACTAATACCAGTTTAATTTTAAAGAGGTTGAGAAATATCGATAAGCATTAATTGTTTAATTACCAATTTACTTTCAAAATGGCCATAATTCTTTCAAATTTAAAGTTTCAGTTAAACATAATATATTAATAAATACTTGGGCATTTTATACAAGGATTATAGGTTCAAATTCTGATAATAACAAAAATCTCCATAGATTTATTCTAAGGATTATCAAGATTGACAAATTAGACTAGTCCGCTGTATATCTAATTAAGAAAGTAGTCTCTTGAATAAAAATATATTGAAAAATAGCTATCACTGCTACAATTAACATGCTCTTTATTGTTTAACAAATCAATTTAGATATGATTATCAAAGTGTCAGTAAAGTGCTGCTATAAAAAACTTATTGAAGATCCAAAATTAAATATAAACCTAGTATCTACAAGACTAGTATCAATCTAATTTTAAAGAAGCTAAAAGTAATTAATAAGTATTTGTTGCCTAATTATTAATCAATTTTCAAAATAGCTATAACTTTTTTAAATTTAAAGTTTTAATAGAAACATAGCATATTGATAAATGCCTAAGTATTTTGTACAAGGGTTATGGTTCAAATCTTGGTAATAACAAAAATCTCCATAGATCTATTTCGAGAATTATCAAGATTAACAAATTAAACCAGGTTTTTATATATGTGATCAAGAGAGTGTTCCTTGAGTAAAAGACGGTCTCAAAAGATAGCTGTCACTGCTGCAATCAACATGCTCAATATAGTTTAACAAATCAATATAGGCACTATTATCAAAGTGTCAGTAAAGCGCTGCTATAAAAAACCCATTAGAGGTTCAAAATTAAATATGAGTCTAGTACTTATAGGACTAATATTGGTCTAATTTTAGAGGTGCTGGAAGTAATTGGTAAATATTAGTTGTTTAACTACTGTTACTAAAATTTTTGGAAAATTTTATTAACTTTGTATAGATACCATCATACATTATTAATATTTATCAACATTTATTATTTTTAATTATATTTTCTATATAATATTTTTTTCTTTTCTCCAAGAATTCTCAAAATGTCTATATAGTTTATATTAAACATAACTGAGCAAGGAATGGAAAAAACAACCACTTTCGAATAAATAATAATACAATAAAATCTATTCTTTAAATGAAAAGATTGTTTTTACTTCTGTTTCCATTTTTACTTTTTACTTTGCCTCCTATGTTTTTTCTCCTTCATTTTCTTTCCGTGGGATTCATGTTTCTTCTTTTCGTATATCCCTAGAGTTTTGGTGGCCAATGACTCAGCTGTCAGTAATGTCGTTGTGTGTCTTGTAGACGTGGACGTTACGGATGCTACCGACGTTGTTGCAGATGTGGACGTCACGGATGCTGTCGACGTTGTTGCAAATGTGGACGTTACAGATGCTGCCGACGTTGTTGCAGATGTGAACGTTACGGATGCTGCCGACGTTGTTGCAGATGTGAACGTTACGGATGCTGCCGACGTTGTTGCAGATGTGGACGTTACGGATGCTGCCGACGTTGTTGCAGATGTGGACGTTACGGATGCTGTCGACGTTGTTGCAGATGTGGTATCACCACTATTAGCACCATCACCAATACTGACATCGGCGCAGTCCAAGTATAATTCATTGGTAAGTAGTGCATTCCATACCCAACGAATGGTACAGTTATTGCATGAAGCACCGTCAGGTAATTTCACAGAGTCGGAGAAAGTACCGGTGTTATCTGCACAATTGGGATAGGATTTAAGCTCTTGAAAGTTCGAGTCTTGGCCCGTTGTGGAAAGCTGAATGCTACAACTGCCACGATGAGCAGCTGTAATAGTCCACGATATTGATATGATTTGACCGGATTGAAAGTTGCTCAACACAGGACCCCGCGGATTTCCGGCACATGGTTCAATTGTGGTTGGCCCGTTTGAGAGAGTGAATCCGTTATTTTCATCACCCGGGGGAATTCTAATCTGTGGAGTTAGCATACGACCGTGCCCCAAGACATCGCTAACAAAAAGAAGCAAGAGAATTGGGAGAATGACCGAATAGTTTATATTGTTAGGAATCGAGAAATACATGCTTGAGAAAGTTATTTTTTTTGTTGATAAAAATTTTATAGAAGTTTTGATAAACCAAGTTTATGATGTTAGACTAGTGAATATCTTGAGAAAGTGGATGTGAATGAATCACGGATTCAAAACTATTGTTGTAAAGTAGTTTTGATTATGGGATTTCTTTAGGAATGTGTTTTTTTCCTATAAAGAGAAAAGGTTGGAATGGTAAAGTTCGAATTGTCGAAAGAGGAGGATGGACGACTTATATAATTGATTTCGATGTGAAGCCGTGTTTGAATATGGAAATGTAAAGGAGTTTTGGAACATATCACCACATACTATTTTGGTGACACCTCACAGGTTTTTTTTCAATTACTGTATCTCCTGTACTTCGCAGAGTACTGTAGTAGTATGTACTGTAACCATTTAAGGACTGCATCAGGATAATGTTTCATGTTGATGATCGTCGAGATCTTCATACAATAGTCATTTATGCGTAACCGTTGTGGAAACTGTCAACGGCTCTTTCGAAATTCTTGGGTCCCGCCGTGTAACAAGACCCTTGGCATGAGGCTCTCCCAGTTTATACATATAAAAAGCACGAGGATGCGTAATCAGGTCCCAGTCATCTTCAAAGACCCGAAAAGAGAAAAAAAAATGCATTTAAACGGGCATCAACTTTTCGCTTTGATGAGGTCTATTCCGCGTGAATGACTTTATCTCGACTAATAAGAATGTCTGTTGACTATAGCTGATTGTGTCCGTCGCATGCGCAGTTCACGATGCGGAAAGACCAAAGAGCGGCGTCCCAGACTGATAGGGTTAAGATGAACAAACACGTGGAAATTAACCAATTAATTATCGAGCAAGTATTGGGATCACGAGAAATCAGTAAAATTATGAATTTGACTTGAGACCGCAATTTGATCCCAATTAAAGAGTTAACACCAAATCGAAATTTATTATGCCTGGCGTATTCCCAAACCTTTTTGACACATTCACGATTGCAAAATAAACTGTAATTTAACTTGCAGCGAAATGTCGCCTTTTTTCTTTCAAAATCTATTTTTTACTTAGTTCTGTAATAAAATACAGAAGATTTATGACAAGAACACCTTCTTAAGTTCACCTTAATACAATAAGGCGTTTTGTACCTTGACAAGATCACAAATTAGACAACAATTCCATTAATGGTATGTACAGTAATTTCCGGTTTGTTGTATACTGGAAGATAACGAGCACAGTAGTGAGAAAAGGAAAAAAACCGGGCGCTGATTTTCTTGGATTGTATGTAGTATTCATGCAATAGACACAAGAAATTGGGAAAATTTTTTATATTATACTTCTAAACAATGAACCTTATTGTAAAAGGAGATAATGGAATTGAATAAGATATGTGTGTGGCTGAGGTTGTGTAAAAACGTTGATGCACGGAAGATCGATAAACTCGGACATCAACAATGGGTCAAGTCTAAGAAGGAATAATGACCTCCCTAAAGCAGAGTTTAAGCTACTATTTTGGGGTGCAGAAAAATGCTCTCCGTGCGTCACTTGTGCAGCATCCTACCGGTGCAGGGTGAAATTTCAGAATTATGCCTATCGTATTTATGTCACATGATTAACCAGGTAATCGACACGTAACGAATTTTGTGAATCGCGCGGAACCTTTGTTGCTCTAATATTATAAAATTATAAATTATTTATTAATGAGTTACATAATTTCTATAAAATTTTTATTGTCCGAAGGACACCCTAATGTAAGTCATAGTGATCCGGATGTGTGTGTACCTTCCGATCACGTGATACACAGATATCACGACAAAAAATCTTTGGAATGATAGCGATCGATAGTTATAGTAATGTGATGAGTGCGGGAAACTATAAGATCGTGTATTTACTGTATAAGCTGATTTAAACGATAGAGAATGAAGAGTGCACCAAGGAATGTATGAATAGGGGATGTTTTTTAGCGATAGTCCTTCGGACTTTAAATAGTTCCCATTTATCTTGTTTATAAATAAAAGAATTTTATTAATTAAAATATTTTGTTAAACACAAGAAGGATAGATACTTTATAAACAATATTTATATAATAATATTCTTGTAAATACGTTACTTACCATATATTAGCTTAAAGCAGGTCGTTACCTCCGAATTGATTTATGATTAAATTATTTTGTATTAAGTTAGTATACTTACGTACGTAATAACTATTTGTCATTTCTTTATATAAGCGATTTAAAGTAATAATATTTCATGAAATACTATATTTTTTGTATATATTTCATCTTTTCCCTTTACATTACTATGGAAAGGAAGTTCTCTATAAGGGATTTGGCGAAAAGTTCATCCTTGCTTACCGTAAGGAAAAAGGAGGGAGTATGCTCAGGGATCATAACATTTGATGAACTCTGAGATTCGAACTAATTTATTTACTTTCATGTGTAGAATAATGTCCCGCCTTTGAGTAATTTCAGAGACTGTATATTCATTAATCCGGATTGCGGCAACTTGTGGAGCAGTCGGAGCATTATGAGTTCTTTGATCTAATCTGCAAATGTTAGTATGGATTACGAGTCATAGATTAGCAATATTTTTCTTAGGCAGCTTTGACATCCAATGAAAGTGAGAAACATAAGGATTTAACTTGTTAAGCATGGTTTTCAATTTATGAATAATAGTATGATTAAGCTAGAAATTCAGAATGGCATTCATTCGATGGTGTTTAGTGTCCCAAATGTACATCTGGAGATAGTGGGATTCTAAATCAAGATTTGAAAGCAATGATCCGATACAGTGATAAAAAAAACCTTGAACATGAAATGTGTATACTCCAGCCTCAACATTAGCCAATTCATGATGCCAACGGAAGCAAATACAAATGCAGAATTATAAATGTGAATATTATTATGAAAATGTTTCGAAATATCATAGAAGAGCCGTTGAAGTGATGAAAGGATATGTCTTTCTGCCAAAACTACCTTACCATTTCTGCAACACATTCCTGGGTTCTTATTAGAGAACTTAAGTGTATTACAGTAACTACAATAAGAATAATCGATAGAGTAGATCTTATGGGGAATAGGACAGTTATCACTATTTGTATTTTCTGAGAAATTGCGAGCTAAATTAAGAAATCGGGTTTAAGTCGACATTGGCGATAAGCAGTACCATTCCTTTTATACCTACTATGACGTTGTTCTTCAGTTCTTTTGCAGCTGTATTGGTCACTCTATGTTCTTCATTTGTAGAACTGTGGTGGATAAGATGCATAATGGTAGAGTAGAAGGTGTGGTTAGTATGTGAAAAAGGTATATAAATAGTTTGATTACGATAGAAGAATAATTACGCAAATAAACGACTTATTGATAGGGATGCTGAAAATTTTAGCTTTATGTGGGACTTTGATCGGTAAGATAAATATTCTTGATTAAACACTTTTATTGATCGTTAAGATAAATATTCATAATTGACGCTTATATTTATTGATCGATAAATAAATAGTTATAATTAATGCATATTTAAATTTATTAATTATTTAGTATTAATTAAAATTATCTAATTAACAGAATTGTTTGGTATTAAATTAAATTAACAAAATTGTTTAGTACTAAATCAAATTAACAATGTTTAATACCAATTTTATTTAGAGTTCGATTCCGGTTTAGAGCTGGCCTTGTGATCAGAAAAATCCAGTAGAACTCTTACATAGTGGTTATAACATGTATGTCATTTAAAATCAGTTTAGTGGCCTATATGAAAAGGCACGTGCATATGTAGTTACGATCTTTAATAACTGGACTGGTAGAATATAATACATCTCATAGTACTAATTGAAATTATTAAATCGACAATAATTATTTAGTATCAATAAGTTGATTTTAGTTTGGGACAGCCTTGTGGTCAGAAATACGATCTAATACTGTAGTAGCTCAGACAGAATTTTTGCATAATGAGCATTTAGGGAACGACTTGCGCATTATCTAAAATTGGTCCAGCTAATAATGGTAGTCCATATGGAAAGGATACAATCTTTATAATAAGCAGAATTAATTTAGAATTGATAGAACATAATATATAATAGATATTTTATTTTATTTTATATATTGATTTTAATTTTTCATATCTTTTACATTAAGGTGTCTAGATTTTGGTCTTTTTTTACTGTTAAATTTCTGAATTAGTTTGACCAATAATTCTATCAACTTGTTGTGAAGAATGTTCAAATCTGATAAGCTAGTTTACATAATAAGCATCCGAAGGAGTAATATACAAGAGGTTTACCTAAAACATATGACCTTACATAAACCTTTTTAAATAAAGAATAAAACTGGTATAAGTAACAAAATCACGTAATTATAAAAATCAATAGAATCGTGAGGATTTGCTAACAGATATTAAAGCTTTAATAAAATAGATAATAAGAATGTATAGAAACAAATAGAAAAATTATAAATAGAATTTCTATAGATAATATTTAGAATTCCTAATAATACCATTTTGGTATTAAGTTGATACTGAATTTACTGTGAGTTTAATACAATAAGTCAAAAAATATATATTAAATTTATTATAGATCAATACTGTTTTGGTATCATTTTAGTATCAGTTTGAAATCCTAAATAAATTAAAAATTAAAAATTTTTTAACTAAAAGTTAATAAGAAATTAAATTTAGAACAATAAATAAAAATAAATCATAAATATTAATTCACTTTTTTAAAAAATCAGCATAACTAATCCACTTAAATTATCTAGTCAGTAAAATAAATAACAATACTTTTTTATTAAAAACTTTTTCTTAATAAAAATAAACTTATAATAAAATATTAATACTGTATATATTAAAATTAAGTAAGATATTTCTCATAATCTTCATTAATAAAGTAATCAAATAAAAGTTACATGATTAATATCAAGATACTGAAATACATTTCTATATACATATGTCAGCCTAATATTATTCTAAATATATTTCTGATAAAAAATCTTGAGACAAGAAAAAAGAAAATAAATACTTAGTTT